ATGGAATAAATGAGTAGTTACTACCAACAGCCCTGAGTGTGGAAACTTAAGTCAGCCATCAGGATATCTTGCTTATAATCTAGCATAGGGACCCAATGAGGATGCCAGTGTTGATCAGTGTATAAACTATTTCTGTTTTAAGTTTTAGTTTCAGCAATTTATTTTGAGAGAGAGCAAGCAAGTAGGGATGAAGGGGAGAGAGAGAGAGAGATATCCCAAGCAGGCTCCACGCTGTCAGTGCAGAGCTGGATGCATGGTTCAAACTCATGGAATGGTGAGATCATGACCTGAGCTGAAACCAAGAGTTGGAAGCTTAACCAACTCAGCCACCTCTGTGCCCCTTGATTCTATTGTTTAAACCATCAACAACTAGTCTTCCTATGGGTTTTTTCCAGCTCACTTGCAAACCACCAAAGGCATTATTACCCAAAGGGGGAAGTGTGAAGAGAATGAAATAAGAAAAGAAGAAAATGCAATTAGGGGGAGGGAAATTACAGAGATAATGGCAGTGATGGTTCGACCCTGAAGGAATAACATTTTGAAGCTTTCTCTCGGTTTGATGGTGACGAGGAGAGAAGAAGCAACAGGAGAGTAAAATTCCCTTCACTCTCAAATCCTGGAGATTTGCATGCATGTAAAGATTGATATCTTTGGTTGTCATTGTTGTTTATTTACCATAAAAACAAAACAAAATAAAAAATTCCTAGGTGAAAAAGTTGTTGTGGGGATCCTGAGAACAAACATGGGGGGCAAAGCCCAAGAGCTTACCTGACAGCCCAATGCCAGTGGCATAGAGCCATGTGAGGTCTTTCTCTGGATTGGTCTGCTCCGTCAGCTGCTGGCTATATCGGCACTAGTGGTAAACTTTTCTTGGGGGCTGTATCTCAGCTCACCTAGGCTCTTCAAGTATGTGAGATCTCCTCAGAGGGGTATGTGTCTTCCACTGGCCCCACAAGAAACCTAAGACCCTAAATCCCTCTCAGATCAGGGCTTTTCTTGCCTTCCTCCAATGGGCCCTGCATTCTCTAACCTCACAGTTTTCTATTCTTTTTGTAGGTGAGGCCACAGAACCTGTCTGGGGTATTTTCCTGCCCTTCTGAGGATGAAGGCACCAAAGAGGATGAGTGGCGATAGGAATGCTGAGTAGCTTTCGTTTTATTCCAAGGATTAGTGTCACGGGTTGAATTGTGTCCCCCTAAAAAGGATATGTTGAAGTCATAGCTTCCGGTACCTCAGAATGTGACCTTGCTCGAAAATAGGACCTAGAGGCAATAGAGTTAAAATAAAGTCATCAGGATGGGATTTAGTCCAATATGACCACTGTCCTTAGAATCAGGGGAAATTTGGACACAAGCCAGACATGTACAGAAAGATGACAATGTGAAGAGACACAGAGAGATGGCCATGTGACTGTGGTGATGAGCCCAGGAACACCAACCGTGGCCCGCAAACACCAGAAGCTTGAAGAGGCAAGCTTTACTCCTGAGGCTCCTATACCTTTGGGAACCTGGAACAGTTCATATGTTTCCTTTTTTTAAAAACATGTTTATTTATTTTAAAAAATTTTAAATGTTTTTTGTTTATTTTTGAGAGAGAAAGACAGCATGAGCAGAGGAGGGTCAGAGAGAGAGGGAGATACAGAATCCAAAGACAGGCTCCAGGCTCTGAGCTGTCAGCACAGAGCCCGATGCGGGGCTTGAACCCATGAGCCGTGAGATCATGACCTGAGCCGAAGTTGGATGCTTAACCGACTGAGCCACCCAGGCGCCCCAATGTTTATTTATTTTTGAGAGAGAGAGAAAGAGAGATAGAGTATGAGTGGGGGTGGGGCAGAGAGAGAGAGAGAGAGGGACACACAGAACTCGAAGCAGGCTCAGGGTCTGCACTGTAAGCACAGAGCCCAACAAGGGCTTGAACTCAAACTGTGAGATCATGACCTGAGCCGGTCAGATGCCCAACTGACTGAGCCACCCAGGCGCCCCCACATGTCTCCTTTATAAATTTTGGACCAGATCTAACATTGTCACTGAGTAGGGTTTTTTTCCCCCATATTAAATATTTATGTTTTCCTAACCATTTATTATATGTATGCCACATTTTAAAAAAACCAATTATTTAAAAAACATTTTTTAAGCAATCTCTACATTCAACATGGGGCTTGAACTCACAACCTTGAGATTAAGAGTCACATGTTCTACCAACTAAGCCAGCCAAGGGCCTGGTATGTTACATTTCTGATTTCCCTCTCTATTGTACACCTCAAACAGTTTCTGGTTGCCTTATATTTCCTTAAAAATACAATTCCTAGAACTTACAGCACACCTCAAGTGTAGTTTGAGCTGTTATTAAACTAAAAGGAATCAGTAAGGAAACTGGGTCCAGGTGAGGGAAAGTATTGGGCCCAGAGAAACTAGAAAATCTCTTCAGTCCATGGAGATGTGGAGAGTCATTGATTTATGGTCTCCTCTATTGGAAAAAGAGAGGTTAAATCATGGGCTTCCCCCCTCTTCTTCTGAGAGTTTCTAACTTATGTGAAATAAGTATGATTTTCTTAGTTGGATTGTATCCCTTGTTTCATATGAAAAAAATACCAATTTTCCTTTTTGTTCCAACAACTTTATTTTGTGCTGATTTTTTCCCTGATACTACTATCATGAATATAACCTACATTTCAGAGTCTGATGTTTGCAAAGGACTTTCTCATTATTTTACATGAATCGCCCTGTGTTGTCTGCTGGGAAATCAGTGACATTTACAGCATCCTGATGTTCATAAATAGTTTATTGGGAAAGGCAGTAGGCAGTCTGAAAGAAGTAGCTGGGATCACAGACTGAAGCTCCTTGATATTGCTGTGGGCCACATCTTTCCTGTCCTGCAGCCCACCGGTCCTGCGGGGAGGTATTTGCCCTCAGTCACAGGTGTCCCCAGGTCACGGTAGTTTCTTCTTTCTCTTGTTCAGGCCTAGAAGTGTCGTGCTTCACCTTCATAAATATTTCTGAAGGTGTCAGAAGCAGCTATGATCCACTTTTTTTTTATTCAAAGCAAAGAGATTTTCTAATCTCTAAAACACATAGTTTATTTGGACATTATTATTATTTTTAATGTTTATTTATTTTTGTGAGAGAGAGAGAGAGAGAGAGAGAGTGAGACAGAGAATAAGCGGGAGAGGCCGGAGAGAGAGGGAGACATACAATAAATCTGTAGCAGGCTGCGGGCTCTGAGCTGTCAGCACAGAGCCCAATGTAGGGCTCAAACCCACGAACTGTGAGATCTTGCTCTGAGCCAGACACTTAACTGAGTCACCCAGGGCCCCCTGGACATTATTTAAAGGAAAAATCAGGCAAATCAGAGCAATGATTTATTTATATTGATACTTACTTGTTTCATTTCAATAGGGTTTTTGAACAATTACTCTGCTACCATTGTGGCATTTTTTAGGTACAACACTCTACTCCCCTTAAAATGAGCCCGTTCTCATCATAGTACCTCAAGCTTAGTTAACCATCAATTTTTTTTTTTAAATTTTTTAATGTTTTATTTATTTCTAGGAGAGAAGAGAGAGAGACAGCGTGAGCAGGGGAGGGTCAGAGAGAGAGGGAGTCACAGACCGAAACAGGCTCCAGGCTCTGAGCTGGCAGTCAGCACAGAGCCCGACGCGGGGCTCGAATCCACGAACCGCGAGATCATGACCTAAGCGAAAGTCGGACGCTCAACCGACTAAGCCACCCAGGCGCCCCATAGTTAACCATCAATTTTTGAGCTTTGTTCTAAACAGCCTCCCCACGTGGAAAGTCTATTTTTCAGCTCCTTCACAGAGGGCTTTTCCTTTTGTCTTTATCATCTGCTCTTTCACAGGATAACTGTGTCAGGAGGAGTGTATAACACCATCCCTTCCTTTTCTCTCTCTAAAAGTATTTTTTTAATGTTTATTTATTTATTTATTTATTTATTTCTAGGAGAGAGAGAGAGAGAGACACAACATGAGAGGGGAGGGTCAGAGAGAGAGGGAGTCACAGACCGAAACAGGCTCCAGGCTCTGAGCTGGCAGTCAGCACAGAGCCCGACGTGGGGCTCGAACCCACGAACCGCGAGATCATGACGTAAGCGAAAGTCGGACGCTTAACCGACTAAGCCACCCAGGAGCCCCATCTGTCTCTAAAAGTATTTAAAGGCTGGGTTCCAGTTCGTTTTGTATGAATCTTTAATTAAAGGTCATTATGGGGAGGGGTCTCCACAGGCCCAACCTAGAAAACAAAACTGTGTTATTTTTCAGTCAAAGAGGTTTACATAGAGGCTGGCTCTAATTTACTTCTGAAGAGAGCAAGGTTCTCTTTCTCTGATTTCTCTCTTTCTCTTGCCTTGTTCTTTTCTCCTATTTTGCCTTTTCTTATTTCTCATTTTTCTTTTTCTTTCCCTTTTCACCCAAAGCTATGCTTTTCCTTCTCTTTTCTATTTATTTTCCCATCCTATTAAAAAATTCTATTTCCCTTCTGTCTTTTATGTGATCTAAATCGAGCACAAACTGTTGGAATCTTGATTCACTCAACATGTATATTTTTCCCACTTGGATTCACAGACTCCTGTTTCTTCTCCTTGAACAGCAAATTCTCCCTTTGCGGCTCATGGAAAGTGTGAACATCCAGAGGTCTGGTCCTTTGATGATAAGACCTAGAAGCTCCAGCTACTTGCGGATAAAATTACCAGGCTCTGGGGCGCCTGGGTGGCTCAATCGATTAAGCGTCCCACTTCGGCTCAGGTCATGATCTCGTGGTTCATGGGTTTGAGTCTTGTTTCGGGCCCTGTGCCGACAGCTCAGAACCTGCAACCCGCTTCAGATTCTGTGTCCCCCTCTCTCTGTTCCTCTCCAGCCTGTCTCTGTCCCTCCCCAGCTTGTGCTCTGTCCTTCTCTCTCTCTCAAAAAGAAATAAACATTACACTTTCTTTTGAAATTACCCGGCTCTGTGTGTGGGCACTAGGGGGCATTGCAGCATGAGGCTTGTTCCGGGTGCAAGAGAAGCAGCAGTCTGGCTCCCCTACTGAGCTTTGTAGAGTCGGGGCCAGGAGCTTGCTCAACAGAAAGACACTGGTGCCAGGAAGCAACAGGTTCCCCAAAGAAGAGCCATCTATTAAAACTCTGTGCTGACAAAAGGGTGCTGATCCCTCTTCAAAAGCCTGTTCTCTGGGCTGGGACTTAATCTCTGGCTGAGGAGGGCTGGAAAGGAGCCCCCAGCCAGCGCAGCTTAAACCATGGCTTCTGCGTGCATCTCGATGCTTGCGATGGTCTTCGCACTGAGTGAGTAATTTGCCTTCCCCATTTTCCACTTGTATTACTCCCTTACGTGCTTTTCAGAAGCTTCACTCATGGAGTGTGGATTCATTTACAGGTGGGCTGAGAGCTCAGTCGGTGTCTCAGCCCGATCAGGTCACTGTTGCCGAAGGGGATCCAGTGACTGTGAAATGCAACTATTCGGTTTCCAGAAGCCCCTATCTCTTTTGGTACGTCCAACATCGCAACCAAGGTCTCCAGTTCCTCCTGAAATACATCACAGGGGACAACCTGGTCAAAGGCTACTACGGTTTTGAGGCTGAATTTAATAAGAGCCAAACCTCTTTCCACCTGAAGAAACCAACTGTCCTTGGGAGTGACTCTGCTGTGTATTTCTGTGCCGTGACAGACACAGTGGTGGGGACTGCAGGGGGAGCTGGGCACAAACCCCTGAGGACCACAGTGAAACTGTTTTCCCGAAGCTCATATGGCTCTCCACAGAAGGTGGTGAGGTTCCAGGATTGTCTCCCATCATAACTGACAATTTCAAGCCACAGAATTTGTTCATTGGATAAATATTTATGAATCCTTATGTGCTCGGTACTGTGCTGAGAACCGATGACAAATAAGCAAAAGAAGCTCTTCTTGATTTCTATGTGCCCGGTGTGATCCCAAACATTTATGAGCCCAGTGTAATTCTTGCAACTGTTAGCATGAGCTTTACTTTGCAGATGAAGGGACCAAGGCACAGAGAATTTAAATTCTCAGTCAAGTCACAAAACTGAAAGGACAAGTTGCAACCCAGGCAGTCTGTCTCTCAGGTGCCTGGTCTGACCTCTGCCCTGCTCTGCTAGCCCTGAGGCTCCCTGAGGGCATGAGACTGATTTCAGCGATGGGGCAACCCCAATACCCAGGATGGTTCCTGCCCAAAAGAGTGCTGTTGGCTGTAGAGTGAACCAACCAACAACTTAGAACAGTTTGGCAAGTGCCAAGATAGAGGACTGCACAAAATGTGATATGCGATGAGGAAGGGGGCAGGTAGTTCGGCTGTGAAGGAAGGAGAGAGTGAAGCCATGGTGTGAGGAGAATTTGAATCAAGGGAGAATTTAAACATGTAGCTTAAACATGTAGGCTGCTTTCAGCTTCTCTGCTCACATCTTATATATGCCCTTGAGGGACTTGACTTGATGCTTCTCTCTCTCTCTTTTCAAGCTTATTTATTTATTTTGAGAGAGAAAGAGCAAACAGGGGAGGGGCAGAGAGAGAGGGAGAGAGAGAGTCCCAAGCAGGCTCTGTGCTGTCAGCATGGAGCCTGATTCAGGGATTGATCTCACAAGCCATGAGATCAGGACCTGAGCTGAGATCAAGAGTCGGTCCCTTAACTGACTGAGCCACCCAGGTGTTCCTCTCTCTCTCTCTTTCTTTCTCTAATTTAGAATATCCTAGGAAGGGCTCTGGTTGACTCTGTGAGTCAAGCGCTCTTCCCTGAACTAACCAGCGCTGGCTGTGGGTGTGGGCTGCTGGGATTAGCCCAACTTGGCTTGCACATTTGACCAGTTAAAGATGGCTGGAGGGATGAGTCTGTAAGAGGTTAGCATTGATGCTTTGAATCTCCTTGGAAAAGGAGAATGTCCCCAAAGAAATTAATTTTTACATAAGGGCTCACATTTATTTCTCCCAAATGCATAGCTAATAGTAGGAACACCACTTTTTGAAAAATTTGTTTTTGCCCCATATATGATATTTGAAATAGTACATATATAGTATACTAAATTCTCATATAAACCTGGATCTGTTTTTGAACTCTTTATTCTTGAAGTTCTGTGCTGGAATGTGCTGCTTCAAGGAGAGTCACCCTTCAGCCTCTGGCTTACACCTCATGATCTACTCCTCTTCATTTTTCTATCCCTAACTCCATCACATATCTTGAAGGGCTTTACACATAGGGATGTAAACACATCGGTCCACATGTGTACATTCTCTGTGAACTCCTTGGGCCTAGAGTTGTGTACACTTGTGGGATATCTGTTGCTGGGAAGATGGACCTTGGAAGAGGTCACAGATCTTGAAAATGGATCTGGGGACAATGAGTGCAGGGAATTCTGGGATCCTGGGTACCCAGAGAATAGTTGGAAGAGTCGCTTAGACTCCAGAGGGCCATGATCCCTTGGCCCTATGGACTTCTCACAAGGAGTAGGGTGGGAATAGCTGGATGATGGCCACGATGGAACCTTCAGAGAGCGGGACTCAGAGCAGGGCCATTACTTGCTCATGTTTCAGGATGGTTGTGTTATGTATTGTTATTACCCTACCTACATCATGTTTGTAAAATTATGGTCCCTATTTTAGGTTTAAATATATTGCCTTACCTCTAGTCTTCAACCCTCATCCCTGTTTTGCTCCAAAGGGAGTTCATATCCAGAAAGCTATTCTCAGCACACTATACCATCAACTTGGTTCCTCGGTCTATTGCTGTCTTTGATACTTTTAAGTAGACTTTGTGCAAGCCCTTCAAGGGAAAGAAGGATGTTTACACAATTACAATTCATTCATTCATTTACCTGTACATTCAACAATTATTTGTTGCATGCCCACTAAGTTCCAGGCATTGTTCTAGGCATTGGGAATACAGTGGTGAACAAAAATGTCCCCTCCAGTCATTGCCCAGACTTGAAAACCGTTGATGCCATTTCCTTACCCAAATGGAACAATTTCTTAATTGAAAACACAAAACTCTCAAGAATACTTCCTTTTCAGGAAGATTCTCTAACGTCAGAGCAGCCATCAGATGTTTGTTTTTCTCATGTGGTGTGATAGGAGCAGAGTCATGGAGGGAAAGGTAATCTATATTTTCGCCATTGTAGAGATGGCAGTGAGGGGCGACTGAGTTTCCTTAGAAGTTCTGTTTTGTCATTTGGCCCTGGTAATTGGCCTGTTTTACTTATAGGAGGAAAATTAGCCTGCTATTTTTCCCCCCTACACCTACTGGAAAATATTCCTTAACCAGGTAACCTTTAGGTAAAATTAGTAATTCAATAGACTTTCTCCTCATAATGTGGTAGAGACCCTCCCTAAAGAATATGACAGTGACCTTCTCTGAACAAAGGAAGGCAACATGCAACGTGGCCCAATCAACTCCTATACACGTATGCATAACTGTGACACAACTCTGTAACTTGGACTGTGTCCAATCAGGCTATATATGTCACCATAAATGGGAGACAAAGAAGAAAAAATTGCATAAAAGTTTACTATACCCTGCGATGTTCGGGGCTTGGACTTTTTGGGGTCTTTGCCCACTGAGTCCAGGTAGGCACGAATAAAGCTGCTTCCTGGTAAGAAGAGCCTCGGCATCCTGTCTCTCAATGACAGAGTCCTGCTACAATAATGTTCCTTTTTTGCCCCCTCTTTTTATCTCACTGCAAGAACTCTGTGGAAAGAGGACTAACTTAAACATTAGGAAGCATAGGTTGTATTTTCTGATTGGATAAGCCATTTATACTCCATGGGCTTTGTCTCCTAATTCATAAAATTGAGATAATTGAAAGGATTGTTGTGAGGACTGTTGTGCATTTAAAATATATATCTTAGACCCCAATAAAAGTGGATGTTGAGAGTGGCATAGCCATCAGATACTTAGGTCACTACTATATAGATTGTCCCCCCCAAATTCATACGTTGAAACCTAATCCTCAGTGTAATTGTATTAGGAAGTGGGGCACTTGGGGGTGATTCAGTCATGAGGATGGGGCCCTTATGAATGAGATTGGTGCCCCTATTAGTGAGACCCTAGAGAGTATCATCACCTCTTTCTACAAGTCAGGACATAGTGAGAAGATGGCTATCTGTGAACCAGAAAGTGGGTCCTCACCAGATACTGAATCTGCTGTCAGATTCAGATACTGATTTTGGATTTCCCAATCTTCAGAATTGTGAAAAATTGTGGAAAATAAATGTTTGCTGTTTAAGCTACCCAGTTATGCTATTTTTGTTATAGCAGCCCAAACAGATCAAGATAGTCACCAACACTGTGGAGCTCCTATAGCTGCCCTGAGCTGCTCATATTTGGACTGTAACACGAGAAAGAAATAAACCTGTATGTTGCTTTACTTTGGCCTTTGTCACCTCAGTTGGGCCTGTATTCTAATTCTGTCTTCTGTGCCTGAAAACTTGCTTTCGGAAAAGGAGCTGATATTATCTATTTACATTGTGATTAAATTGCATTTAAGTAACATTTTTGTTTTTTATTTATTTTAGAGAGAGAGAGTACACAAAAGCGGAGGGGGTGAGGCAGGAAAGAGCAGAGAGCACACGCATGAGAGAGAATCTTAAGCAGGTTCCACACTCAGCTGGGGGCCTGATGCAGTGCTTGATTCCAGGACCCTGGGATCATAACTTGAGCTGAATTCAAGACTTGGATGCTTAACTGACCGAGTCACCGAGACACCCCAAACACCATTTTTATTTTTACTATACGTGGACTCACAGCTTTTATCTTTGAAATACAAGTTTAAGTTTTATTTACTTATTTATTTATTTATTTATCTATCAGAGAGAGAGAGCACGAGTGAGTGAGTGGCAGAGAGAGAGAGGGAGAGAGAGAGAGTTTGGAGCCTAGAGTGTGGCCCGAACTCACCGGATATGGGGCTTGAGCTCATGTGATGTGGGGCTGGAACTCACCTGATGTGGGGCTCAGACTCACAAACTATGAGATCATGACCTGAGCCAAAGTCAGATGCTTAACCAACTGAGCCACCCAGGCACCCAATTCTAAGCATTTTAGAGATGGTAGGGATAGAGAAACACTTTGGGGGCAGAAAAGTTGTCCTGGTTTTCCTGGAAACGCTAGAGGTAGACAGCCATCAGCTCTTTTGGCATAAGAACTTGCTCCTGCCTGGTGCGAAGGGATACCTCTCTCCCTGAGGGCATCACCCTCCATGGAGCCATCTTGTACTCCATTCAGTCCTCTGTCCTCTGATCTTTTTCTATTTACACAGTCACTTTCACTGGGTTCTCTGCGAAAATTCAGAAGCTCTTCAATTAAACGGTACAAAGCATAGCTCTTTATCTTCCTTCTTTGCCGAAGAAAAACGAAACAAAACAAAAAAGACAAAATCACTTCTTGTTTTTGTTTCTATATCAAACAACGGCACCACTATCTACTCAGTCTACCTATCTGCCATTCACTGTCTTGTTTCCTGGTCTGTCCAGAAGCTGTTTCTTCTGCTCTTCCTGCATGGCCCAGTTTTTCCCAGGGTAATTCCTTCTCTTCCCTTAGGTGTGGAGGGGAGCCCTCCTGGAACCCCACACTAAAGCACTTTCACTTTCCATATGATCCGAGAGTGTCCTGCTTTCCCTCTCAGGAGCTTATCATTAGGACTGTTGCTGCTTGTAAGGTTTTCTTCCATCTCATTAGATCACTGGTTCTTTCACATGATTGAGTGTCCAGTGCCTGACCCAACCTGGGACTACACAAATTTGTTTGATTGAGTAAATAGATACTTAACAAGAGTTAAGTATTGAAATATTTTTACTCTTTAATCCA